CCCGCGCAGCTCGACGTCTACCGGCGGCTCCGGTGCTGTCACTTGCCAGTACCAGCTTCAGACCGGGGCCTCTTCGCGGCACTCTGTGTCGCCGCCTGCACCCGACCGCCCGCTGTTTGCGCCGCCTCGACGATCTCTTTCGTCGTCGCTTTGGCCCTGCCCCGGACCTCCCGACTGGCACAGCCTGCTCCGCCAGGGCGTGCCGATCTTTGAGTTAAACATGGATCAGATAGGTGCTGCTTTTGCATGCCTTGTATTCTGACGCTTCTAGTGTTGCTGGATCTTATTACCCTGTGTACTCTAGTTTAGGCGTTGCACCGTTGTGTAGCTTAGCCTCCCTGCTGCGTCAGGCGTAGGACTGCCTAGTTTGCCTAGCCTAGTCTCTGCACTGGCTCCGTTCCCGACCTCCGCCACAGCTTCGCTGTCCTTCACTCTCGACTCCGGTGCTTCTGCCTGCTTCTTCCGCGACTGTTCCGCGCTCACCGCGCTTGCTACGCCTGCTGTTGTCTCTCTTGCTGACCCCTCTGCGGGTCCTGTCGTCGCTCGCAGCTCCACGTCTCTTCCCTGTCCAGCAGTTCCCTCGGGCTCCCTTACAGGCCTCCACGTTCCCTCGTTCTCGAGGAACCTAGTTGGTGTCCGCTGTCTCCAGGACCTCGGCGTCACCACCACGTTCCCGGCACGAGCGGTTCGCTGTCTGTTCTGAGGCTGTCTCAGGTTCCCCCCTTGCGACGTTCCCCGGGACCCGGTGTCCCGGTCTGTTTACCTTCGACATCGCTTCCCCCCCGGTTGGTGCATCCTCCCAGGTCGCTGCAGCTTGCTCGTGTCGGTCCTCACTCACCCGTCCCTTCTCTGGCACCACCGCCTAGGTCACCCTGCTCTCCCACGTCTGCGTTACATGTCCCAGCACGGTCTTGTCTTAGGTCTCCCTGCGTCGCTCCCTGCCCTTCCTCCCTCGACTGCGCCACCGTGCAGCCTTGCGACGAGGGCCGGCTCCGCCGTAATCCTCACTCCTCCTCGTTGCGCCCTGCTGCTGCTGCCCCCCTTCAGACCCTGGCACCTGGACGTTTGGGGCCCTGCCCCTGTCCCCGGACCGCGAGGTGAGCGCTACTTCCCTTGTGCTCGTCGACGACTACACGCGCTACACCACGATGTTTCCCCTGGAGCGGAAGGCCCGACGTGCCCGACGTTCTTCTCCCGTGGGTTGTGGCTGCGCGTCTTCACCGCGGCCTCCCCGTGTTGTGTTCCACTCTGACCGTGGGCGGCGAGTTCGCCTCTGGTCGGCTTGGACAGTTCTGTCGTGCGGAGGGCATCACCCAGTCGTACACCTTGCCGGACTCCCCACAGCAGAATGGGGTTGCTGAGCGCCGCATCGGCTTGGTCATGGAGGTCCGCCGTACCTCCATGATTCATGCCGATGCCCCCATTTCTGTGGCCGTTCGCTGTTCGCTACGCTGCCTCACCAGCTTAATTTGTGGCCACGCTCCCAGGGGCCGCATGTTTCGCTGACCTCCTTTGGACCGGGTCCCCGGGTGACGCGTCTGCGTTCCACGTCTGGGGCTGCCTTGCTCACGTTCGTGCCTCTAGCACGGACAAGCTTACTGCCCGCACTGTCCCCCTGGACTCGTCTGACTGGCTTTTCTACCACCCGCCGTCTCACCGCTTCCTCCACTCTCGTGACGTCACCTTTGACGAGTCTGTCTCCTTCTACCGCCGCTTCCCTCACCGAGGTCTCCCGGTTGCCCCCCCCTATTCCTTGCTCCCTCTCCCCCGGTAGCCCCTGCTCCTCTCCCGCCTCGCCGTGCCCCGTCTGGCGTCTTCACGTCACTCCCCTCTCGTCAGTTGTCCCCGTTGAGGAGTCCGCTGTCTCTGGTGGTACCCCGCCCGTCCTTGCCGCGTCCCCCTTCCCCGGTGTCTTCGCTCTGCTGTCGCAGTCGCCGCCTCCGCCGCAGCCTCCGCCGCCATCGCCGCCGCTGCCCGTCGCCGCCGCTCTTGGCCCTGGGGGTGCTGGTGTGGAGGAGGGTGTTCGTCCTGCGGCTCCTGGGGGTGCCGCCGGTGTTGGAGGGGGTTCTCGCTCTGGGGGTGTTGGTTCTGGGGGTGCTGCTGTTGAGGGTTCCGCCGACGGTCGTCCTGCTCTGCCGGTCCGAGGGTTCCGGCCCAGCCGTCGCAGCAGCCGCAACAGCCGTCGCCGCCGGTCTCCGCTCTCCGCCTGCTCGGTCTTCCCTCCCCGGACCGCTCGCCGGTGTCTCCCCACGCTGCTCACCTTCCTGTCTACGGTCCTGTGTTCCCGCCGCCAGACTCGTCTCCGGCCCGTCTTCCTCCTCGTTCCCCTCCTGTGTCCCCTCCGCTGTCCCCTGACCCTACACCTCCGTCCCACATTTGGTCTCGCTGTCCCTCCCGTGCTCGTCCCGTCTCTCCTGTCCTGCGCTCCCACCTATGTTACTCCGTTCCCACTCGTCTCGTCCTCCCTCCTTCCGTCCCCTCCTCCTCGTCCCTTGCTGTTGCACCTCCTCCGTTCTCTGACTACCTCCGTTCCGCTCGTCCCCTTGTCCCTCGGGTCCTTGCCTCTCTTGTTACCGACCCTTCTGTTCCTGTCTCGCGCCTTGACGCGCTTGTCGTTGATGTCGCTGACTTCGCCTCTACCCGCCGCCTTGACTACGCTACCGCTCTGGTCTCTGACCCTGCCCGTCCTCCGTCCGTCGGGGGTGCTCCTGCCCTTGGCAGTGACGTCCTAGAGGACAGGCAGTACGAGCTTGCTTTCCTTTCCAAGGCTGCTCCCCATCTCTGCTCCATGCTGTTAGTCCCTGAGGGTGACCCAGACGCCTTCGACATCCTGACCCCTCGCACCTACGCTGAGGCCACCTCGGGACCTTGGGCCTCTCAGTGGATAGCTGCCATGGAGCAGGAGATGGCATCTTGGAGGTCCACCGGCACTTACGTCGACGCAGTTCCCCCGCCTGGGGTGAACGTAGTCGATGGTCGGTGGCTCTTCAAGGTGAAGCGCCCCCCTGGAGAGTCGCCTGTCTTCAAGGCGCGCTACGTGGCCAGAGGCTTCAGTCAGCGCGAGGGGGTTGACTTCTTCCAGACCTTCGCCCCGACCCCGAAGATGACCACTCTTCGGGCGCTGCAACACGTAGCAGCACAGCGCGACTACGAGCTTCACTCCCTCGACTTCTCTACTGCCTTTCTTCAGGGCAGCCTACACGAGCAGGTCTACCTGCGGCGACCACAGGGCTTCACTGGTACCTTCCCCCCTGGGACCCAGTGGCTTCTCAGGCGCCCGGTCTACGGCCTGCGTCAGGCTCCCCGCGAGTAGCACGACACGCTGCGTGCCATGTTAGCAGACCTGCAGTTCTTTCTGTCCTCTGCTGACCCCTCACTGTTTGTGCGTTCCGGCCAGACTCCGTTCTACATCCTTGTCTACGTAGACAACCTGGTCTTTGCTACTGCTGACAAGGACGCACTGGCCTCTGTGAAGGCCGAGCTACTGAAGAGACACACCTGCACTGACCTTGGAGAGCTGCGTCGCTATCTTGGCCTGCAGATCTCTAGGGACAGAGCAACACGCACCATCACTCTGACACTGTCACACTTGGTGCGTCAGGTCCTTCAGAGGTTCGGTCTTCAGTTCTCCTCTGCACAGCCCACACCTCTACCTGTAGACCATGGGCTCTCCGCTCCCGTTCCTGAGGAGCCAGTAGAGCCCAGTGGCCCCTACGCAGAGCTGGTGGGTTGCCTCATGTACCTGATGACTTGCACTCGCCCAGATCTCGCATACCCTCTCAGCATCTTGGCTCGCTTTGTGGCTACTGGCAGGCACCGACCTCAGCACTGGTCTGCCGCTAAGAGGGTTTTGCGTTATCTTGCTAGTACATCGGGCATGGGGTTAGTGCTAGGAGGATGCAGGCCGGTGGTCCTTACTGGGCACACAGACGCTTCTTGGGCAGACGACTCTGAGACGCTCAGGTCGTCGCAGGGCTACTGTTTTAGCCTTGGTTCGGGTGCTATCTCTTGGAGATCCACTCGCTCGTCGTCTGTGGCTCAGTCCAGCTGTGAGGCTGAGATCTACGCCGGTGCCATGGCGGCACAGGAGCTCCGCTGGCTGACCTTCTTGCTCACAGACTTAGGTGAGCGGCTTAGCTCTGCCCCGGTCCTGTACGCTGACAACAGGGCCATGATACTCCTGTGTCAGGAGCCTCGGCTTGAGGGCAGAGCGAAGCATATCCAGCTGCGGTACTTCCTCCTGCGTGAGTTACAGCAGCGCCGCCAGGCCCGCGTAGTTCACTTGGCCTCAGGTGCCAACACAGCTGATATCTTTACTAAGGCGCTTGCGCCTAAAGATCATCAGCGGCACTCTGTACAGCTTGGCCTTGTTCCTGTAGCTACTCTCCTGTTAGGATCTTGATTGTGTACTCTCTATTATATATGCTTGTCAGACTGGCCTTGTGGCCTTACCTCAAGTGGCTGGACTAGTAGTGCCGCCCTGGCTTGCTTTAGTCTTGTTTGTACTCTTGCTGACTGGTCTCCAGACCCCTGCATCAGTGGTTGGACTAGTAGTGCCACCCTGAGCTGTTTGCTTCTTGCTTAGCTTCACCCCTTGTCTAGCCTAGGGGGTGTGTCAATTTATACATATTAGCTATGTAGAAGTTATAGGCTAGACTGGGGTATGCTTCTAGTGAGTACAACCAACTAGTATTTGTTCTAGGTTTCTCCTAGTTCATCATTCAGTTCTTACTTTAACACTTCTAACTACCATGAGTGTGCTGTGTCATTGAGATCTAAAATGCTATGACGACTGCACTGCACACTCCTCTTAAATTCGTGTCACAATCCATCCCGTTCCATTTGGCTTCATTGATTCGTCCCTGGCAACCTGCACTGCTTCCGTGGATCGTCATCAGCATAGGCATAGCCTTCTTGGTGTAGCAATCTAGGTTGATGTATTTGAAATATTGGAAACTCTGTGTACTTGATGCCAGTGAAATGAGAATGCCAATTGCACCAACAAGAAGCAAGCTTTCTTAATCAAGGCCAAATACCATTTATCGTACACAACTGCGAGGGATGCATGGCATTATCACCTAACGTAGTAATCACAGGTTGCTCCACCACGGATGGTGTTACGAAGGCCTAAACTAGTGAACAGTGAACACAAATGAAAATAAGAAGCGGTAAATGCCAAGAACAACCACAATTGGACAATCTACAGTGCATCGTATCATTCGCATCAAGCTCTGCTTTCTGTCCTCTCATTGAAGCTCTTGTGTGCACCCGCCTGCAAACGGGTAAGCAACCAAAAACGGAATCAGACGGAGTGTGTCCTCTCCCCCATCCCCCCACCACCTATGTTGGACACCCGCATCATATGAGCCTCACCGCAGTGGATGTTTTGAGCAGTTCTCGGATGGCCTTGGTGGCCTACCAAACATGCCGCTGGTGAAACCCCCCTGCAATGCTACCTGCATGCTCTCAGCTCAGCTGTATTCCGCATGCCACATACCCACACACACACACAATGTCCCACTCACCGCAGTGGATGCCTTGAGCAGCTCTCGGATGGCCATGGTGGCATATCCGGAGGCAGGCAGGGTGAACTCCACCTGCAAAGCCACTCGCATGCCCTCGCTCCCTTCTCCCTCCGCCCCTCCTGCTCCTCTCCCCCCTGTCTCTCCAGCCCCCCCCTTTGCAGCAGCTTCTGCACCTCGTTTACCACATTCTCCTTCTCAACCCCCTCCTCATTCTCCACCTCCGCTTTTCTCCCTTCTCTCGCCTCTTCTGCACCCTCACCTGCTCCCACCTTGCCCCCACCGCCCTCACTCCCCTCCTCCTTGCCTTCACATGTTTCCACCGCTCCATCTCCCACAGCACTCCCTTCCATGCCCCCCACCGGCCCTCCGATGGGTTCCTCCCCAATCCCCAGCCGCTCAAGCTCCTCCTTCCCCAGCCTGACTCCGCCTGAAGACGCCAACACCACCACTGCTGGCACTGCTCCTGCTGCTCCTGCTGCTCCTGCTCCGTCTCCCCCTGCTGCTGTTGCCGCCTCTCCCCCAGATTCCTCCTCTGCTGCAGCGTCAGCAGCAGCCCCCGCCTTCCCCTCTCCCCTCAGCACCTGCTTCAGCATGCCCTTATACCCCGGCTGCTTGAATCCATAGTACACGTGCGCTGCTTCCATGACAACAGGGGCGTCACCGTTAGCAGTTCCTCCTCCTGCTGCTGCTGCTGCTGCTGCTGCTGTCTCTGCTGCTGGCGCACCAGAGGCGGGGGCAGGAGCCGAGGTAGAGGTAGGGGCAGCAAGGGCGGCAGGGTCAGGCGCAGAGGCAGGGGAAGGTGCAGGATGGGGTGCAGGAGGGGCAGTGGCGTGTGGGGCGGAGAGGGCGGAAGCAGCGAGGCGGTCGAGGTCAGTCTCTGCCAGCACTTGGGCTGGACGTGAGTAGGCCAGCACACGCCTGGTAGGGAAAAAGAGTGAAGGGGAAAGAGGTCGGGGAAAGAGTAAGGGGCAGGAGGGGCAGTGTTGAAGGCTGCGGAGAGGGCAGCAGCAGCGAGGCGGTCGAGGTCAGAGGCTGCGGAGAGGGCAGCACTTGGGCTGGGCACCAGTAGGCCAGCACACGCCTGGAAGAGAAGGGGGGTGACTGGATGCGCAGGGGGAAGGGCAGAAGAATGGAGAGAGAGTGTAGGGCAACGGGAAAAGTGGCCTGACAAAGGAACGAGTAAAGTTGAGTGCAGCCTGCCTGCCCGGCTCACCAGTTATAGTCAGACGGCATCTGTAGCAGCCGCCTGTAGCCCCCTGGGATGCGCTCGATGGAGTACTCCCTGCCAGTTAGGAGGAACAAGAGGGAGCACAACAGATAATAACATCCCAAACTTCCAGAGAATAGCCGGCAGCCGAGGTATGAGAAACGCAGGAGGCATGAGAAACGCAGGAGGCATGAGAAAAATCTGGAGCAAGTTGAGCTAATGGGCCCTGTGCTTGCTTACTTGACGCTGTGCTTGCTCCTGAAGAGGTCAATGCCGTCCTGCAGTAAAGAAAAGCAACGGGGGAGGGTGAGAAGCGGGTGAGAAAGGAAGGAGCAGGATAGAAGGAAGGAGCTCAACAAAATATAAGAGGACGAAGAAAGCTGAGAGGGATGTATGTGCGAAAGCTGTGCTCCCACACACAACATGTGGTGGAGAGCCAACCTTGGCTGCAAAGGATTTGGCAGACATGGGCGGTGGAATTGGTAGGGTACTGGATGACTACAGGCACCTGGACACAGTGACTGGAAGGTCTCACAGCAACAATGACTCAATGCACCTTGACTCAATGTACCTTGACTCAATGTACCTTGACTCAATGCACCTTGACTCAATGTACCTTGACTCAATGTACCTTGACTCAATGCACCTTGACTCAATGCACCTTGACTCAATGCACCTTGACTCAATGCACCTTGACTCAATGCATCTTGACTCAATGCACCTTGGCTGCGAGACTGGAAGAGCTCAGCGGCGGCGTTGGCGGGGTTCTGGATGGGCCATAGCCATGCCGACTACAGGCAAGGTGACTTTTGAGTCGACTCAAAAGTCACCTCGAGTTGGCGGGGTTCTGGATGGGCCATAGTCATGCCGACTACAGGCAAGGCGACCATAGGCTCAAACAAGTAGCCACGGGCGCACCTTGGCTGCAAGAGAGTGGAAGACCTCAGCAGTGGAGTTGGTGGGGTACTGGATGGAGCCCCTGCGGGACAGAGAGGGGGGAAGGGAAGGGAGGGGAGGAATTCAGCCCACGCACTCTTTCTTTGCCCAGCATTCTCTAAGTCGGTGCAGTGAAAAGGTAAGGCACCGAAATGGTGCTCCCTCCCTCGTACTCCTCCCCACTGACCCCCCTCACTTCAGCCCATGCACTGAAGCGGAGAAACACCTCACTAAAACCAACAACTCACGCTGACAGTGGGAGCAGGACTTGGTCGATGGCATACGTCCCTGTGTCTGTCTGTCTCCTCTTGTCTCACCACCGTCACCTCCGCCCCCTCTGCCCTGGGCTTGCGACCTACCCTGGGAGAGCCAGACAACCCACGAAAGCTCGCGACCTACCCCGGCAGCGGCAGCACCACTTGATCAATGGAGTATATCCCTTGGTCCGCCTCCTCTTGCCTCACCACCCGCACCTCCGCCCCCTCCGCCCTCGCTTCCACTGCCACTGCTGCTGCCTCCTCTGCCTCCGCCTCGGCGTCTGTGCCCCTCATCCCCCCTCCCTCTGCACCCCCGCCTGCTGAAGTAACTGCAGCTGCTATGCCCACAGCATTGCTGGCCGCAGCAGTGGTGGCAGCAGCAGCAGAGGGAGAGCAGAGCACTAGATCTCCTGCCACCACTCGAGTTGAGCCTGCAGGTGGGGCGAAAAAGGAGGGGTAGTGAGATGGGGGTAGTGAGATGGGGGTAGTGAGATGGGGGTAGTGAGATGGGGGTAGTGAGATGGGGGTAGTGAGATGGGGTAGTGAGATGGGGGTAGTGAGATGGGGGTAGTGAGATGGGGGTAGTGAGATGGGGGTAGTGAGATGGGGGTAGTGAGATGGGGGTAGTGAGATGGGGGTAGTGAGATGGGGGTAGTGAGATGGGGGTAGTGAGATGGGGGTAGTGAGATGGGGGTAGTGTCCCGGGGAAGGCGCAGTCTCCTGGGGAAGCATAGGGAAAGCAAATTGTCCCGGGGATGCATATTGGCCTGCGAGTGACAGTCACCATTCTGTTCAAGTGCGGTGTGATGCGGTGCAATGCGGTATGTCTCACCATATGTCTTGATGCGGTGTGAGGCTGCATGGTTCCAAAGAAAGCTCTGGTAGCTGTGCACGTACCTGCGCAGAGGGGGGAGGGGGGAGGGGGTGGGGCTCAGAGTAAAAAGGGGCGGGAAAGTATTCGGACAAGCAAGGAAAGAGGTTCTTAGCTGTGCATGTACCTGCCCACAGTGAAGAAGGGGGAGGGGGAGGGGGAGGGGGAGGAAGTGTTTGGAGGACATAGTAAACAGGGGCGAAAAGATGGGGGGGGCGAGGTGAGGAGACAGGCCGTTCTTCCTAAGTAAGGAATCTTTGATAGCTGTGCTGCCTGTGAATGTACGTGACCACGGGGTAGAGGGGGGACAGTGGAGGGTCCTTTTCAAACCAGGAGAGGAGGGAACAGTGGGTGGGCGGATTGAGGAGAGAGGCTTTTCTTCCACTGATATAGCGGCGCACGCATGGGGCCATGGGGTACTGGAAGGGCCATGGGGGTACTGGAAGGGCAGTAGGGAATCCCCACTAGGGGTCATGTGCATGTACAAGCAGATTAGTTTGTTGACGCCTTATCTCCAACAGGAACTAGATGGCTCTTGCAGGTGGAGGGTATGGGCAATGGGACGTTCGAATAAGGGCGCTGCGGGCTGCTGTGTGGGAGGACGTGAGAATACGGAATCACAGACTCACATGAGGCGCATTGTGCGGGGAATAAAACCCAATGCCTGCACCAGATTGCGAGGGTTGCGCTTCAAACCCGACAGCTGCAGCACAGCAGGAGGCCGGGGGTGAGGGAGTGGTTGGGCGTGGGTGGGGTGGTTAGTGAGAATGAGGTGCAAATAAGAAGGGGGTGAGAAGTGATTCAGAAGGGGAGAGAGTGGAGGAGCAAGCTGAGACATGATGTTTGGATGGAGGAGATACAGACTGGTGAAGGGGTGGTGTGAGTGAGGGGTGATAAGAGTGAGGGCCAATAGGAGTGGCACTCACAACTCCTCGTTCGGCAACCATTCTGGTCGGCATGTGGATCATCGCAAGGTCGGCATCTTTTGTCTTCATCCACAGGCGCCTGGCTTCCGCTGCTCCTTCCGATTGTGGCGAGATGAACATTGCAGAGTGAGCAAGTCAAAATGATAGAGAGAACGGCACATGATGTAAGGATCACTAGCAGACGCGTTTGCCTTGTATAAAGAGTGAACGAGGAGGGTGCGACTGTACTGAAGTGCGTTGGCATGGGTGGGCGAGGGAGCAGTACCAACAGACAACAGCTGAAAGCCATTCACATTTGCAGCACTGCCATGCCTGATCGAACTAGTGAAGCATGGAAAAAAGGGAGTGTGGCACATGGGGCCATGGCACAGCATGCATGAGAGGAGCAGGGCATGTGAGGAGCAAGGCATGGGAGGAGCAAGGCATGTGAGGAGCAGGGCATGGGAGGAGCAGGGCATGGGAGGAGCAGGGCATGGGAGGAGCAGGGCATGTGAGGAGCAAGGCATGGGAGGAGCAAGGCATGTGAGGAGCAAGGCATGGGAGGAGCAGGGCATGGGAGGAGCAGGGCATGGGAGGAGCAGGGCATGGGAGGAGCAGGGCATGGGAGGAGCAGGGTATGGGAGGAGCAGGGCATGGGAGGAGCAGGGCATGGGAGGAGCAGGGCATGGGAGGAGCAGGGCATGGGAGGAGCAGGGCATGGGAGGAGCAGGGCATGGGAGGAGCAGGGCATGGGAGGAGCAGGGCATGGGAGGAGCAGGGCATGGGAGGAGCAGGGCATGGGAGGAGCAGGGCATGGGAGGAGCAGGGCATGGGAGGAGCAGGGCATGGGAGGAGCAGGGCATGGGAGGAGCAGGGCATGGGAGGAGCAAGGATATCCCCGTCTCTGGGCTTGAGAATGAGGTCCACTGCGCCCTGCCAGTCGCCCCTCAGCAGCGCCGCCCCCACCGCGTGTGTGGCCACTGGGCCCACTCCAAACCTCTGCACTCAAGCCAAGGGGAGAAGGAACGGGAGGGCGTATGTTTGTTTCTGAGATGGCTCACAGACGAGTCCACTCAAACACACAGTTAGCAATGATATTACGGCAAGTGGCAGAAGAAACAGGCATTGAAAGTGGAGACTGGCGGATCATAGCCATCTGCACCAGCACCCACCTGCAGGCCGAAGTAGTTGATGATGCCGTGCGTGCGGAGGCCCTCCGCTGCTGCTGTGATGGCGTCCAGACTCGGCGCCTGCACCGACCTGAGGGGCGGCATGCAGACATGTGGGGGGAGAAGGGGACAGAAGACGAAGTGGCGGGGAGAGGGGGGCAGGGGATAAGCCCGCCATCTAGACTGCTGCTGCTGTGATGGCGCCCAGAATCGGCGCCTGCACTGACCTGGTGCACAGCATGCGGGGCAGAGATGCAAGAGGACGAGAGGAGGAGGAGGAGGGCGCAGACACAGGAGGAGGCCAGGAGAGGGGATGCAATGGCATGCTTTTTTGACAGTGGTCTGTGAGAAGGCAAGGCCAAGAGGAGGCGGCCCCTTGTCTGCCATCCTGGCGTCTCTCCGTCCATTGGTCCATCGGCGCCAGAAAGTTCAGACCTCCACTGGCCTCCATTAACTCTCCTCTGGTTATAGCTTCAAAACCCGAAACCGGACTCCTTTTTTATTCAATGTGTGACTGACAGCTCAGCACTTCACCTGGCGGTGACGACAAATCGGTTCCTCACCAGCATCCCAAGCATGAGGGAAGTTGGTTTTTGAGAATTTCTAAAAAAAACAACTTACCAGCTGCCCCAGTATGAGGGGCTGGTCCACAAAGCGGTGGTCGCCCACCCTCATGATACATGTTAGCTTACAGCCCGCTAGGCTAGTGATGCGCACACCGGCTCACCTGAGAGAAGCTGCAGCCAGCTCTGGCATAACCTGAGCTACCCCCCCATCCCATCCATAACATGCGCACCTGTGACCTGTTGCGCCTGTGACCTGTCGCGCCTGTGACCTGTCGCGGCTGTGACCTGTCGCGCCTGTGACCTGTCGCGCCTGTGACCTGTCGCGGCTGTGACCTGTCGCGGCTGTGAGCTGCTCTCACCTGAGGGTGACGATGAATCGGTTCCCCGCCAGCTGCCCCAGCACGAGCGGCTGGTCCACAAAGCGGTAGTCGCCCACGCGGATGCCAAACAGCTTAGAATTGAGCGACGCCACCTTGCGCGCCGTCTGGTTGCACACCGTGACCTGGGGGCGTGGTGGGTGGTGCGTGGCGATGGATGGGACATGGGCGGTGGCATGACATGCCATGACATGCCATGACATGCCATGAGAATGCCATGAGAATGCCAAACAGCTTGGAATTCAGCGATGCCACCTTGCGAGCCATCTGGTTGCACACGGTTACCTAATAAGGGAAGGTGCAGTGCAGACACATGGCAGATGATGAGAGGGGGGCCTGAATATCAGCATGCCAAAACCCTCTACACTCCACCCCACCCTCTGCACAGTGTGCTCTCCTAGAGCCCAAGCGCCCTGGCAAAAAATACTCACTCGCTGCACCGTGACCGCGCGCTTGTCCTTGGTGCCTGAGAACCCCAGCGCCTTGGTCTGCACGCCCAGGTACCGAGCCACGAGCGCCATGGCCTCGTTGGTGTCCTTGTTCTCCTTCAGCACGTGGAACCTGCAGAGGGATTGAGTGCGGTGAGCATGTGTGCAGAGAGGTGAGCATGTGGTGCTTTCACAAAGACGGCCATGGCCTCGTTGGTGTCCTTGTTCTCCTAAAAACATGGACCCTGGGGGAGAGGAGGGGGGGGCGACAAGGAGGGCAAGAATGTATGCATGTTTGCATGTGTGGCATGTGTGGCATATGTGGCACATGTGGGCATGTGTGGCATGTGTGGCATGTGTGGCATGTGTGGGCATGTGTGGCATGTGGACATGTGTGGCACGTGTGGCATGTGTGGCATGTGGCACGTGTGGCATGTGTGGCATGTGTGGCATGTGTGCTGTGGCACGTGTGGCACGTGTGGCATGTGTGGCATGTGTGGCATGTGTGGCACGTGTGGCACGTGTGGCATGTGTGGCATGTGTGGCATGTGTGGCATGTGTGGCACGTGTGGCACGTGTGGCATGTGTGGCATGTGTGGCATGTGTGGCATGTGTGGCACGTGTGGCACGTGTGGCATGTGTGGCACGTGTGGCATGTGTGGCATGTGTGGCATGTGTGGCACGTGTGGCATGTGTGGCATGTGTGGCACGTGTGGCATGTGTGGCATGTGTGAAGTTGAGCTCGGCATCAGAACAAAGCCCATGTCACACACACACAGACACGCACATGAGGAATCTGCGGGTGGCAGTAGCCGGCACTCCATCCGCCCCCTTCCTCCCCCTCCTGTCAAACGCTGGCTGCTCGTTCTCCTCCTCCTCCCCCTCCCCACCACCCCTATCATCCGCCCCATCTCTATCCTTTGAAGCACCCTCACCACCACCATCACCATCCCTCCTTGCTCTCTTCCTATCCCCACCCTCCCACTCCTCCCCCGCCCCCGCTTCCCCCACCTTCCCCCTCTGCTCCCCCTATTTCCCCCCAACGCGACTCCCTCCACCCCTCCCCTCCCCTCTCCCCTCCCCACCCCTCTGCGCCCCATTCCCTGCTGCGCCTCTTCCCGCTGCCCCCCCAAGGTTGAGGGCGGCGGGGGAGGAAGCGCAGGCGCACGCAGCGGTAGGGTGGGCCCTCCACGGCGTCAATGGTGTCGGAGACGAGGAAGGGGAAGGCCTTGAAGAACGCGTGCATGGCCTGGTGGAGGGATGGGGACGGGGGGAATGCAGGGGAAGAGAGGGGTTGTTCGCGCCCTTGCACAGCATGAACGGGGGCGGATACAAGGTACGGGTAAGAGTTGAACAACATGTGCAAGGCCCTTTGGAACCGGGACGGGAAGGGGGGAAGGCGGACGAGGGGGGTCTTTGCCTTCTGGGACGATGAACAGCATCGGAGGTGTTGGTGACAAGAGAAGGGACCGAGGGGACAGGGGAAGACAAGGAAAGGGAAAGATTAGCACGCATGGTCTGGTTAGGTTAGGATTGAGCTTGTACCAGGCAGAAAATACAGGAAGCTCGCCATAGAAAGCACTCACAGCACGGTATGCCTTGTCAGCGCTGGCAGCAAACACCACCGGCTCAGGCATAGCGGGAGGCAGCCCTTTGCCCTCCGCCTCTCCTTCTCCCAACGCTCCCTCCCCTCCCTGTTTGCTTCCCTCCTCCCTGTCCCCCCCATCTCCCTCGCCTCCTCCTGCTCCCTCTCCTTCGCCCCCTCCCCCCTCCTCTCCTCCCTTTCTCGCCCTCCACCACAGCTGAATCCCCCTAATCCCCTCCAGCAACTGCTGCAGCTTCCGGGCATCTTCCTCGTCGCGCAACCCCCCTCCCCCCTCCCTCTCCCCAACCGCCCCGCCCCTTCCCCCCAGCGCCTGGCGGAACTGCGCCACCAGCGCCCCCCGCGTCCACCACCTCCCCCAGGCTCTCCGCCTCCCTCCTGCGCGCCAGCGCCTGCTGCTGCTGCTCTTGCGCCAGCAGGGCCGGGGACAGGTGCAGGTGGGTGAGATGCACCACCGTGCCGTCCGGCGCCACCTCGTTCACTATGAAGTCGGCGAACCTGTGAGTGCAGTGCACGCATGGAGACAGGCACACAGCCAGGCGGGCGGGGAGGGAGGGAGCAGAGGAGGACGGATGAGGGTTTATGAGGGTTACAGCTCCCAGCCCAGCATAGCCCCGCCTCACCTCTGCTTCAGCACGCCGTGAATGCCCGGCAGGTCGTTGGCATACGCTGGGCAGGGCGAGGGGTACAACGCTCTGCCGATCGTGGCTAGCGAGGTACGAGAGAGACACCCGCCTCACCTCTGCTTCAGCACGCCATGTATGCCCGGCAGATCGTTGGCGTAGCAGCTTATGCCCACCGACTCCTCTGTTGCCGCCATTCGCGCTCTCGCCTCTCCGCCTTCCCCCTCTTCCCCCTCCTCTCCCCCTTCTTCCTCCTCAGCCTCCGCCCAGCTTTCCCCTTCTCCCCCCTCCTCGCTGCCCTCTGCGCCCCCCTCTCCCCTAAACCCTGTACCCCCTCTCTCCCCTCTTCCTTCTTCACTATGCCTCCCCTCGATCTCCTGCTCCACCCAAGCAACTGATTCGCACGCGCTTTCCGCTTCCCCTGCGTTCCCTGCTTCCGCGGCAGCGGAGAGGCGGGTCTGACACGAGCGGAATGCGCCAAACGGGGCAGATGGGGAAATGCGGATTGCGCCCACGAGAGAGGCGGCGGAAGGGGGGGGGATAGGGGGAAACGGCTGCCACGCGCGGAAGGTTAGATGCGCGGAGGGGGAGACGCGGAAGGTGGGAAGGAGCGGGGATTGGCGGAGGCGAAAGGGGAAGCGGAAGGGAGGGCAGTGGGTGGGGAGAAGGGGAGCGGTGGGGGGCGGGCGATGGGGGCGGCGAATAGTGACATACACACTCGCGCGATGAGAGCCGTTGAGCGATTAATGGCGACAAATAGCGACAGACGGCGACAGACGGCGACGGATTATGTAGGGGAAATGCTACAGAATCCTCCTCATCCTCGTGTGAGAGATGTGGGCACTCGAGTTGAGATTCCTTCACCAAATTTGGGCTGGTTCGGGTGGGGAAAGGGGCTTGTGCGAATGCGAAAAAAAGAGTTACCACATTTCCCGGTGTCGTGAGCGCAGCAAGCTTTCGCCAAGCTCCCAATTCCAACCGAATGTAGCAGCTTTTGAAGAACATTTTAGCCGCAATAAACTCCAATCGATGGGCAATCCCTTCAGGAGCTCCACCTATAACGAGGACGGCATTCGGGCTGACAGAGCCGCGCAGGACGCAACAACTCGCGCGGCATGCCCCTCTGCGGCCCCCGTTGCAACCCGTCACTCCGAGCTGAACAGTGGAACGGCTCTTGTGCCGAGAGCACGAAAGGCTAGCAGTCTTTTCAGCGCCCCTCCATCAGTCATAGCGTCGATCAGACTTCGCGCCTCGCGTGGTGCTGCCCCTCGCGTCGCGTGGAGCGGCGCGATGGAGAGCGATGCGTGCCTCGAGAAGTTCGTCATCTACGAGACGCAAGCGGTGCGCGCGCACACCTCCTCCCTTCTCCCCCATCTCCCACCCCCCCTCCCCACCCGCCAACCCCCACCCACCCACCTCGGGGCTCACTAGAGGAAATGTCCATCGATTACCCAAGCGGTGCGCGCGCACGACCCCCACCCAACCACCACCACCCCCCCCATTTCCCCTCCCCTCCCCTCTTCCCTGGAGGCTCTGATTTTAGCGCATACGTTGCTCTTGGGCTGCTGTGTGTGTGCGCTGTGGGGGGAATGGGGGAATGGGGGAATGGGGGGGTGGGCTGGGGGGAGAGCGGGGTTGGGGGGAGAGCGGGTTGGTTGCACGTAGGAAAATTGAGGCTCGCGCTCCCTGGAGGCTCTGCCTCTGATTCTGATTTCCAGCAACGCTGCTCTTGGGCTGCGGTGTGTGTCTGTGAGTTGGAAGGGGGGTGGAGACTGGGCAGTACGGTGGGCAGAGAGTGGGTGGGTTGCACGTGAATGATTGGTGTTCGCCATGTGCATGCTCTTGATTGGCCCTGAATTTTTTACGCCCTCCACACCCAGCCCCCTCTTCCCCCCAAACCCCTCTCCTCTTCTCTCCCCCTACTTTTCCCCTCCCCCCCCCTCTCCCAACCCCCGCCCACCCTTCCCCAGCGCTTCTACATCGTGGGCCGGGGCAAGAACAAGGACCAGAAGCGCATTCTCAAGATCGACCGATCTGAGCCGTCGGAGCTGGTGCTGGTGGAGGATCCGACGGTGTACAGCGACCGCCAGTGCTCCGCTCTGCTGCAGCAGCTGGCCGAGGGCAACCGCAGCTCGGGGGGCCTCCGCCTCGTGACCAAGGCCTATGGCATCGCGTGGTGTCTGTCTGTCGTGGGGGTTGTGAGGTAAAGGGGAGGAGGGAGGGGGGACGGGGTGGGGGACTGGTCATCTAAGCCCTCTAACACTGCAGCAGCTGGCCGCAGGGAACCGCAGCTTGGGGGCCTTCGCCTCGTGACCAAGGCTTATGGCATCGTTGGTGAGTCTGTGGGGGCTGTTGCATGTGTTTGGGGGGGGGGGGGAGTGGGGAAGGTGGGAACGCTTCTAAAAGCCTTTACACTGCTGCAGCTAGCCGAGCCGAGGGCAACCGCAGCTCGGGGGGCCTTCACCTCGTGACTAACGTGTATGGGATCGTTGGTGAGTCTGTGGGGCGGTTGCATGTGTTTGGGAGGGATGGGGGGCGGTGGGTGGGTGGTGGGTGGGTGGGAGGGAGGGAGGGAGGGAAGAGGGTGATGAGACTACACTGAGCAAAGCCGATTTTGAGGCGCCTCAAAAATCGTCTCAACTCACGCGGATTTTATATGGGGAATATTTTCATTGCATGGAGGTGTGCACGTAACCTTCAAAAGTTACTTGTGCGAGCCAAGTTACCAAGGCTTATCGACAGTTCGGAAGAAGACCCTCCTGAAGACTGACACCTGCAACCTCGGGTTTTTACCCACTGCTGTGTTGGCGAATGCCCATTGATAGGCAATCTGGGTAGTTGATAATCTTGAGAATTGTTTTGGAGGGTGTGGGTTGTTACTTAGCTCATGCCTAGACTCGTGATTCTCTTATGTCCAGTAGCACTGATGAAGGCTCGGCGGGTTTGATCCCCGTAAGCCGAAACATGTTTGCGACCTGGTAAATTTGAGTGAAGAGTTTTTACGAAGCAAATCTCTGCCTAGGATTTTTTACTCTCGTTCTTGTTGCTCAAGCGACTGACTTCGCACTGCTGCTCTTCCCAAGACCATGAGTGACGACGACCCGTGGGACTTCGATTGGATTCCATCCGACGAGGAAGAAGCCGGTACAAGTGGTCGCAGCTCGGTTAAGCGCGTTCGTGGGGAGGGAGGATCATCACGCTCCGCAAGACACGCCAGGCGATCTGGAGCTGGGAAGAGAATCCCTCCACTGGCATTGACCTACGAACCCACTCTACTAAGCAAGCAAGCTGAAGCTCATCCCACCGGCCCGTCGACAAGTCGTCCAAGCGTCATGGCGGAAGCTGCCGACACCTCTCCAATCCCTCAACCTTTCAAGGGATGGACGGAGTCGGCTGTCAAAAGCTTTCGCGACGACTTCAAGACTTTGCTGAAGGCGAAAGAGAAGCTCAAGAAGATGAAGGATCTCGATGCTCAAGGTGTTTTGCTTCACAGCATCCGCACCAAGGCTGTCGAGTTCCAAACGAAGCTTCCGTCCGTTAAAGAGAAATCTGCTGCATCCGTCGCCGCGATTCACGAGGCGAACCAGAAACGGCTGCAGGCGGACTTCATCGCCTCAAAGGCACTGGAGGTTGAAGAGCTGCAGACAGCGGCGAATTCGCACGTCACCGCTCTAGCTGCAACGATGGAAGATTATATTCAAAGCCTGAGCACTAACCCCGATCTGGTGGTTTCTGATACCGCCAAGGAGAAGTTTCGACTGCTCAAGGGGAGATGCATTGCGAAGGCGAATTCCGACATCGCAGCTGCGAAAGATGACATCGTCATCAAGGAGCTGGATCGACAGCGGAAGGTAGCTGCTGAAGAATTGAAGAAGGCTGCTGCGTCCGAGGAGGTGCATGACATGGAAACCGAGACCGGGATTGAGAAGATTATGGACAAGCACGCGAAGCGGATTGAAGACAAGTTTTGGAGGGAGCTCGCGCCAAAAATTGAATCCAATCTGATGAAGAAGCTGCTGAAAAATCTTTCTCTCGGAGCACAGGACTCCTCCCGGGCCCCCGCTGTTGACTCGAAGCAAAAGAAATCGTCTGCCGGAACGTCGAAGCCCTTCACTCCTGATCCTCAGGAGCGCCTCTCGGCTAATACGGCAACGGACTCGAAGCCGAAGAAGAAACGCGGGGGTAAGAAGAACAAAAAGAAGAACGGCACCGACAAGACCAGCAAGCGGGTGGCCAGACATCTGAGAAGGCCAAGGGACCAAAAAACGGCGGAGGCGGCCCCGGAAAAGGGCCGCGCAAGAACTAACCAGTCACGACTTGGCGCTCCGCTGGTTCGGACGGTTGACAGTGCGGCAGCTGTCGACACGGATCCGGAACCGGGGAGTACATAACCTCAGCTCCAAGGTCTTGTCTTCGGACGAGAAGAAGGGGCTGGGGTTGGGACTGAAGTTCATTCCAACGCCTGCCGTTTCCCTGTCTGGTGCTGTGGAGCTCGACCAGCTCCTACGCCAGATTTCGCTTCGACTTTTCTTCAAGGATGACGGCGGTCGGAAGGGGGACTCGCGCTTTCGAGTGCGGAATCCCGACTGGCTTCCTGATCGGATTCAAATTCCAGAGCAGGTCTTCAAGGATTCGTCATTCGACTTGTCCTTCCTGTTGAAGGCAACCCCCCGATCCGACATCAGAACATCTCGTCTGGTGTTCGACGGGCGTGCGCTCCATCGCTGCGGATCGACACGTGGTAGTGAAACCTGCCGACAAGAACGTCGGGATCACTGTCATGGACCGGAGTCACTACGTTCGCCTCTGTCTCGACCATCTTGACGACGCGACGACCTACACTCCAGTTCATCGAGATCCTACCGCCGACGTCGTGCGGAAGCTGCGTGATCTGCAAAGCGTGTGGGGACCTGCTTTTCCCGAGAGCCTTTGGAAATTTTTCTTTGACAAACCGCGCGGAGGATGGCGACCGGCGGCGTTCTACATCCTTCCGAAGCTACACAAGAAGAAACTCGCGGGGCGGCCTATCGCAGCTTCGCATTCATGGGTGACTTCGAATGTTAGCCGTTGGTTGGACGCGGAACTTCGACCACTGGTGCTTCAACAGCCAACCTACCTGCGCGACTCCCTCTCATTGCTACTGATGCTGGAAAAGACCGCCTTTCCTAAAGGAATACTTCTAGCTACGTACGACGTCACCTCGCTTATCCCAGCATCCCACTAAGGCGAGGGCTCGATGCGGTGGGCAATTTTCTTCAACGAGGGAGAATCGTGAATTCTCAACCAGTCATGGCCTTGCTGGAATGGGTCATGATGAATTCTTTCGTGGAGTTCAATAGCGCTGGCTGGACGAGATT